AACGGATTTCATTAGATTTCCGGAAACCAAGTGATGACAATAACTGATTTCAAATAAATGACTATTAAATGATACTTGAATTTTATTCATGTGTGAATAAGTTCGAGTTCTGATGGTGAAATATTAAAAACGTTAATTGTGGAGATGGACTCACTAATAAAACAATCTTAAACATTTTAGTAGCATTAAGTTAAAAATTCTTCGAAATAAAGAGCATAGAACTTTAAAACATAAGCATATTTAATACTTTTAATACAAACAGTATTTTTAGTTCTTTGCATGCTTCTTATAAAAGAATGATTCATTAAAGAAATTTAATGTATTTTTCATTGCCTGATTAGGTTATATATGATAAGGCCAGATTTGAGAATATTTTATATAAGACAAGCCAAGGGAGAATTTTGGAAACTACAAAAACATTAAAAAGATGAAAGACATTAAACTACCATAACAATACAACAAAAGGATGAAAATACAAGATTTTTGAAACCGAAGAATAAATACATGACCAGTGATTGTTTAAAGAGACTAGAGAAACTGAAGTCTCAATTCTGGATATAGATTGTCACTAAAAAAACTCAGGAGACTTTGTTGAAAGGAGTTAAATCTCAGGGCCCCACTAACCTCTCTGGTAAAGTGATTACCACTTGGGACCAGTGACATTAATGAATACGTTGCTGGACTTCCATGTAGTTGACTGCAGTTTGAGTCCCAGACCCGGTGGCTTAAAATTCATGGCAGGTGCGTGTATGAGTGCCCAAAATCCTGAGACAAGAGTGGAGGAGAAGGGATTGCGGTATGGCCATCCCCCCAAGGGGTGATTTCTCGCGCTCTGTCTCTCTAGTGAGCACATGCCCCCTATAACAAAATCTCTAAAAGAAAAAAAAGAGAAAGAAAAAAAAAAAAAAGAAGTGATTACCACTCTCTCACACTAGAAAAGCACTGAAGGGTTATACTAACCCAAGAGAGGGTGAATTATAAGGGTCTCTGAAACTGGGGAATCCAGACACAGCTGGGGTTGCCAATTATCTTACTGAAAACTGGATGCATTTACATTCCGATTAGTAAGATCTCTAATTCCCTTTCTTTGCCCACAAAGAAAACTGGCAAGGAACACTCAAAAGACAAAAGATTGGAGGATTTATATCTCAGAAAAGACTGACAGATATCAATAATTAGAGGAACTCTTTAAAAAATAAAAAAAAAGGGCCTAGTCAAATCACACTGCTGACAAGGCCCACGCGTGAAGCTTACATATCTTCTAGTATTTTAGTGAGTCAACAATCTCAAGTCATCTGAAGAAGCATCTAAAATAACACTAAACTAAATAGGGACCAGCAGATGGCTTAATGGTTACGTCGCTGGACTCCCACATGGTGACCACGGTTTAAGGCCTAGACCCAGAGGCTTAAAACTCACATCAGGCACGTTTGTACATGTGCCCAAAATCCTGAGAGAACAATAGAGAAGGGATTACAACATGACCATCCCCTTGATGGGTAATTTCTCACTTTCTGTCTATCTGGCACACACTCTATAGCAAAAATATATCTTAAAAAAAAAAAAAAAGGACTGACTAAATAAAAGACAATTCAGGAAGAAATTGAATTGAAAAAAAAAAAAAAAATTCCAGGCAGAGAGAGGGCCACATAATCAAAAGAGGAAATCTCCCTCCAAAAAAAATCAATAATCAACTTTCAGACTAGCTTTCACAAGAAAGCAAAACAAAACAGATCCACACCAAGGTTACATCACCGTATTATTTCAGAACATTAGGTGACAGAGACAGATAGAAGCTCACATTAACCAAAAGCTGGTGTCCCTTCGAAGAACTGGAAATCAAAATGACATTAATTTTCTTACAGCAACACTAGAAACAATGAACAAACACAGTAATTTCCAAAATTATGAGAAGTGACTCAAATCCTAGAATTCCAAACTGAAAATACCCATCAAATGTAGACATTTTTAAAAAATGTCAGCTATGAAAGTTCTTAAAAAATTCATTTCTCTTCAATCTTTCTGTCAGGAAGACATGGAACATATCCCATCAAAATGAGGGGTAAACCAAAAAAGAAAAAAGTAGGAGATATAGTTAACAATGGTTCTCTAACAAGGAACAGCCAATAAGAATACCCAAGAGGATGGTAAAGGTAAATGGAATCTGTTCTAGTCTAGACTAAAAAAAATTTGGGTGAATAGTGACACACGACATGACAAGGTGTATTTAGGGGTAGTTTACTATTAAACCATCTGATCAATTTGCATATACTAAGAAACTTACACTCCTAGAGAGCTTGGATATAAATCACTAATAGGTGTACAGAAAGAACTATTAACTTCAGGAGGAAAAAGGTGTTATGATAATGAAAGAACAAGGATAGCATATTCCATGGTACATTTAGAGAATAACATATGCTCATTGTATCAATTCAGCCAAAATTATGTACTCATGGGACCAGTAGTTAGCGTAATGGCTATGTTGCTGGGCTCCCATGTAATCGACCGTGGTTCAAGTCCCAGACCCAGTGGCTTAAACTCACGCAAGTCGTGTGTGCATGCGTGCCCAAGATCCCGAGAGGAGAATGGAGAAGGGATTGCGGCGTGGCCATACCCCCCCCCGGGGGGTGATTTCTCACTTTCTGTCTCTCTGTCTCTTTCTGGCAAGTGCACGCACCCTATAGCGAAAACCTCTCCAAAAAAAGGGGGAAAAAATTATGTGCTCACACCAAAGATGTAGCGGATCATTACATGTTGAAATAGTTAGAAGTAGTTAGTTATACATATGTGCAAAGTATAGGCAACAGGATTTCCTTTGCAATCAAATGTGGATAAAATATAAGGAAAAGGAAGCAATGAAGGTTGGCTTCATGGTTTAACAGTGATGTACTGTTCAGAAGCTGGGTGCCATTTAGAGACTGCACCTTGAATCCCCAGGGCCAGTTTCTGCAACATACCAGGCACAGGTGTTAAGTGCCCAGAGTCAATGGAAGGCATCCCTCTCTCTCCCACCACTGAGTGTGTACGCGTGTGTACATGTCTATCACTAACCAAGGGAGAAAAAAAATAGAGAAAGTGAGGGGAGATCATTTACATAATCAGGTACTCAGGTAAAAATGTCACACAGGCAGCTGGATGTATGGGTTTGGAGTTAAGAATTTCTGGCTGAAGATGTAAATTTGAGTCATCGTCCTAGCTGGTATTAAAGAAAAAAGGTAAGAACATCCAGAAAGTTCTGTTTAGGGGACAGAGAAAGAGAATGGAAAATGTATGAAGGAAGAAATACCAGCCAAATGTGTTTGCCACAAACCAATTAACCTTTGTAGAGTGAAGTAAAAAACTATATAAAGTGCTTCTGATAGATCAGGTAAAATGTAGTCACAGAGGTTGCTTGGAGACCTTAAGAACAATCCCAAGGGAAGGATGGGGATGAAAATCTGAATGGAAAGGGTTCAAGAAAAAAAACAGAAGTGGACAGATTGAAGACACTGAATTCAGACAACTTTTTCAAGGAGTTTTGCTATAAAAGAAAGAAATGAGACTTTTTGGTTGGGTCTGGCTCGGTCAGACACTATATCCAAAGTAACAGGAAAACAGGATACACAGACACTGCTAAGGTTTATAGATACAACTGTGACTACTTTAAAAAAAGATTTATTTATTATTAATTTGCTATAGGGAATGCACACTTCCCAGAGAGAGACAAAGTGAGAAAGCAAGCCACCAGGTCTGTGACTTGAACTGTGGTGTTCAGATGAAGATTTCAACTGGACATTTGGTTAACAGAGAAAGTTCTAAAAGAAACTATACAGTCGGGACCAACAGATGGCATGCGCCTGTAGTTCCAGCTACTTAAAGGGCTGAGGCAGGAGGACTGTGACTTAGCCACTGTTCTTTTCTGATTGTTTCTATTTTATTAATACAATAGAAAGCAAGGTGAGACAAAGGAGGTACTAACAAGTGAAGGACAAAGATGAGCTAACAGTCATTTAGGAAATGTACTAAGAACATTTAAGTACAACTCCCTAACAGCTTACTTAGGTTATGATCATGAATTTTAAGACTTAAATTAGCATACTTGTGATCAGTAAACTTTCTCTTAAACAAGACAAAACAAAACAAAATCCTGCTCCATAGTCTTTAGTCTTTATAATTTTCTTTGGCACAATGTTCTCTCAAAATAATTATTTTTGGACTTTTTCGAGGGATTTTTTTGCTATAGGGCGCCAGGCAGAAACCTAGAAATCACCCCCCCCAGTCCTCCTACCATCCCCCAGAAGGGATGGCCACATGGCAATCATTTCTCCTTCATTCTCCTCTAGGGATTTTGGGCACACACAAATTTTAAGCCACCAGGTCCAAGACTCAAGTCATAGTCGACAACGTGGGAGTCCGGAGACATAACTATTATGCCATCTGCTAGTCTCTCAAAATAATATTTTTCCCAAGTCTTTCATTTTCCTAAGGCACAGATAATCTGACCTGCATCTCAATATACATGGCAACAATAACATTTTCACATGAGATAAACAACCAGCACAGAAATATATGGTTCAGGGAGCATTTCCCCTCTCCCAAAGTATATTCAGGATTTCTCTTCCTTGTAGCCTGACATCCTTTCACACAAGCCTGAAACAGTTCCCTCTTTGGACTTTATCCTTCTCTGTTATGGATTTTGTATTAACTATACTCTTAGGTGTAATTTCTTTCATTCTGGTCCTATTTATGCTCCTAACATAAACATTCAGGAAATCTCTTGTACTTATATACTAAATTATATATTACCATTTCTACTTTCTGGCCTTTAGTTAAAACCCTATAGTAACTTTTTTTTTTTTTTTAAGAGGATTTTGCCTTAGGGCACATGAGCTTGCTGGAGAAACTAGACAGATACATTGAGAGGGAAAGTGAAACATCACACCCAAGGATGGATGGCCATGCCATGCCACAATCCCTTCTCATCCATTCCCATTCCGCAATCTTGGGTACACACACACACGTGCACCTGGCCTGATTTTCAAGCCACTGGGTCCGGGACTCGAACCGCAGTTGGTCATGTGGCAGTCCAATGACATAACCACTACGCAACCTGTTGGTCCCAACCTTACAGTTTCTTTTAGAGCTTTCTCTGTGTTAACCAAATGTCCAGTTGAAATCTTCATCTGAAACATGTATGAAAGACTAGTGAATTAAACCAAGTCAGAACAACAATGTTAATACATCCCAATGCCAATCAAATCTTTCACTATGATTTCACCTGAGTTATTACTTTCCTGAAAAAAAAAAAAATTTTGATGAGATCACCTTATAACAAACATTTATTGGTAAACCATCTTATAGACAATTTCTTACTTAAAAAACAGAAAGCACAATCCCAATTTCCCCCATCAATTGTCTACTCCATAACTTAAGTACCAAAACCCATGAACTGTTCTGCTAAAAGAAAGGGGGTAAAAGGACATTTACTAAACTTCCACAGGAAGACTGTATAAATCTGGCAGTGGTTACATATTAGCCTGTATTCGTATTACCCAGTCTCAAAAATTAACTGAAAATCTAAACTTAATATGAATACTTCTTTGTTCTTATAAGGCTCAGAAAATTATTGTCTATTAACTATGTAACAATAGTAGTTACATTGTGTAAACTGATATAGTCATAACAGTAAAGTGGATGATCTGGATTTTAAAACCAAATATAGGTAAATCACTAGAAACAAACAAGAACTTTAAAAAGCAATTTTTTAAAGTTCCAATTTAAAACAAACACTCAGGACTGGAATCATCAGAATTTTCTATAATCTTGAATATCCCCGTCTTCTCTTTAATTGGTCCTGAAAGAGTCATTTGATCTGTAAGAAAAATATTAAAACAGGTACTTTTTAAAAAGCCATAAGAAAGCTAGACCCCACAAGGTCAATTGTGCTGTTTGATTTCTGGGCCTGTGGCCTGAAAAACACGCTAGGTTGAGTATGCATGCATGCCTCAAATCCCAAAAGGATAGATAAATTGAGAAGAAATTGCAGCATGACCATCCCCATGAAGTGTGCTTTCTCACTTTCCTTCTCTTTTTCCCCTCTCCTTTGAGCACATGCCCTCTGGTAAAATATATAGTATTTTTTAAAGTGTAAGAATTTGAAAATGAACCAAATAAGTTTCCAGTATGATTGTATATGTCATCTGTCCAAAATTTACAAACCCAAATGGGACACTCCTTCTTAGCAAGACTCAACAGTAGCAAAGACAAAAAAAGCCACCTAGGGACAGCACAATGTAAAGCATGAGCTTGCTAATTAAAATCCCTCCTGGTAAATTTAAGGTACATAAGTTACAGAGCAATATACAGGACACCAATTTAACTCGTATCTTCATAGATGTTCTCGAAATCTCAACCATGGGGCCAGCAGGTGGCACGGTGATTAAAGCACTGGACTCCCACATGGTCAACCATGGTTTGAGTCTCAGACCTGGTGGCTTGCTTTCTCACTTTCACTCTCTCTGTTCTCTTGGGTGAGCACATGTGCCGTAAGGCAAACTTAAAAACAATAATAATAAATAGGAATAAGCAAATGGCATAACGGTTATGTCGCTGGACTCCCACATAGTCGACTGCAGTCTGAGTCCCAGACCCACTGGTTTAAAACACAATCCAGGTGCATGTGCATGCAAGCCCAAAATCCCAAGAAGTGAATGGAGAAGGGACTGCAGTGTGGCCATCCATCCTGGCGGGTGATTTCCTGCTTTCTGTCTCTCTGTCTTGCATATGTACCCTATAGCACAAGTCTCTCTCTAAAAATAATTATAATAAATGTTTTTCAAAAATTTCAACCATGATTAGTTTAATAACTAGGAAACCAGATATTATGGAAAGTTTACCTTTATAAACTTTCCTAATCACTGCCAATATATAATCTTTTAAATTTTGGTAAATACAATGGCTATAGAATAAAATCTACAAATTTTAACTTGTATTTCTCTCATTTCTAAGGAAGTTGAAACATCTTTGTGTGTTCATTTCTTTTTCTCCTGGTAATAGTCTGCTCTTATGTTGTCCACTTTTTAAAAAAAAAAATAATTGTCAGGAACCAGCAGTTAGCGTAATGGCTATGTCGCTGGACTCCCACGTAGTCGACCGTGGTTCGCATCCCAGACCCGGTGGCTTAAAACTCACACCAGGCGTGTGTGCTTGCGTGCCCAAGATCCCGAGAGGAGAATGGAGGAGAAGGGATTGCGGCGTGACCATCTCCCCTAGGGGGTGATTTCTCACTTTCTGTCTCTATGTCTCTGTCTGTCTGGCGAGCACACACACCCTATAGTGAAAAACCTCTCCAAAAAAAAAAAAAATTGTTTAAATTTTATTTACTCATTCATTTATTTTAATTTGACCAGAGAGAGACACAGAGAGAGAAAAAGAATGAGAGAAAGCAAGCCACCAGGTCCAGGACTCGAACTGTGGTCAACCATGTGGAAATGCCCAGCGTCTTAACCACCATGCCACCTGCTGGTCCCCTTATGTTGTCCACTTTTGCAGTGGTTAAAAACTGCATAGAAATCTGGGTCCTACATGGCAGACTGTGGCTCCAGTTCCAGCCTCCAAGGACTGAAGTTCATGCTTAAGACCCTTAAGTGTGCATGCCCAAAATACGGATGGATTTGGACTGGAGCAACCGCGCACCATTGGGGAATGCTTTCTCTTTTACTCTGGTGAGCATGGCAATTTCTGTCATATACAAAAAGAAAAGCATGAGACATACTTACCAAGGAGATCACTTCGATCTAACAACAACTCTAGATCTCGATCACTAATGACCTTTTCTCTTGATCCTTTAACTTCCCTAGAGAAAATATTCACATGTTTACAAGTAAATCAAACTATGGCTTACATTTTTCTAAAATAAAAAAACTTACCTTTCATAATCTCTAGATTTTAATAATTCCATTAATTCCTTAGGATCTAAGAAATTCTTAGATTGATTTAATCCAGACTGACCACCCTTGAAATGATCTAGAAGAAAAATCCAAGAATTTCAAATTTTACATTTCTTTAAAAACTATATAATATTACAGTCAGAAAGGTTTACATTAAATAGAACAGAAAAAAAAAACAAACAAGTATTGGTAAGGAAGAAAGGCAGCTGAAACTCTCAGACTTTGCTGGTGGGAGTGTAAAATGCTATGTCCACTTGCAAAAAGGGTTGGTAATTTTCAATAGTTAAATAAAAACCACAGCCAGGACTAAGGACAAATAAAAGCCTGATGTTCACTGAGATATGTACAAGTGTAGCCTGTTTGTAATAACCAAAAAATCTGGAAATTCAGATGTCCATCAATTGATAGGCAAACTATTCAACAATTAAAAACAAACTTCTGGCCCAGTTACAATGGCAAAAGCAGGAGTGTATCGCTAATGATGGCTGAGCTTGCCTGGGTGGCCTGACCCAACTTGAACAAGCCAGGCTCTATAGCACATGTCAGCAGTCTTAGCTAACTGGGAGACTGGGGTAGAAAACTGCAACAGGGCAAGACCTTGCCCAAAAAAACACCCTTCTTGGGACTAGCGGTTATATTGCTGGACTCCCACATAGTCGAATGCGGATCGAACCCCAGATCCAGCGCTTAAAACTCACGCCGGGCACATGTGCGTGTGTGCCCAAGATCCAGAGGAGAGAATTAAGGAAAAGGGACTGCAATGTGGCCACACTCCCCCCTCCCCCACCCTGGGGTGATTTCCTGCTTTCTACCTCTGGCAAGTGCCCTATAGCAAATCTCTCTCTTAAAAACCTCTCTCTCCCTCCTACTCCTTCTCTCAAAAAGCTAATACAAACATAGATAGATCTTAAAATACTACATTGAACAAAAGTAGCTAGACAAGCAAAACAAAACCATATGTACATATGAATAAAGAGAAAATAATCTTCTGTGACTGAAATCAGAATAGTAGTAAGTGTCAAGGGAGCAAGAGGAATGACTAGGAAGGGAAGGTAAGCAAAATTTCTTGGATGATGAAAATGTTACTTTGATCTGAATGATAGTCACATAAGTATATACATTTGCCAAAATCCATCAAAATATACTCTTAAGATTGGAGCATTTTACTGTGTATCCTATACCTAAATAAGAAGCTATCAGCATTTTTTTAATTCTTAAAAATTTTCCTATAAAATTTTATTTTTAAAGAATTATTTAATTTTATTTATGTATTCATTTACTTCAATTTGACCAAAGAGAGGTACAGAGAGAGAGAGAAGCAAAGTGAGAAAGCAAGCCACCAAGTCCAGGACTTGAACTGTGGTTGGCCATGTGGGAGTGTCCAGCGCCTTAACCACCATGCCACCTGCTGGCCCCATTTTTCTATAAAATTTATCTTTTAAGGTACTGAACATAAAATTTAGGGAGAAACTAGGTAAATCTCATATAAGTTAATTATATTAGTTATTTAAGCAAAATATAACTTATTTTATCATTCATAATTCCTAGAAAAGCATAAGTGAAATATTTAAAATGTACACAGTCCTATGAGGACAAAGCTTTTTCCTGATGTGCAAATTCCAATACAATTGAGTATTCCATCAAGTTACATCTATTTTCTTTTTGGAAAGATTTTTGCTATAGGACGTGTATGATCGCCAGAAAGACAGAGAGACAGAGACAGAAAGCGAGAAATCACACCCCCCACCCCAGGGGGGAGATGGTCACATCGCAATACCTTCTCCTCCATTCTCCTCTCAGAATCTTGGGCATGCACGCTCACGCGCCTGGGGTGAGTTTAAGCTACCAGGTCTAGGACTCAAACCGCGGTGGACTACATAGGAGTGCAGCGCATAGCCATTATGCCGACTGCTGGTCCCAAGTCAAATCAATTTTAAAACTTCATCTACTAATCCCTCAAAACCAGCAAGACAGATAAAGTATTAGTAAGCAGAAGAGCAGCATGAGATAAACTGCTGACTTTCAACATTATTGTATTCCCATTTCTCTAGGCTTAATTTACATAAATAATTTTCACCTTTCTTTCAAGTAGCCATCAAACTGCTTAATCAAAAAAAAAAAAAAAAAACAAGAA